CAGGTGAGGAGACAGAACCTAATAGAGAGTAGAAATGTCAAACATTAATTTATTGTACAATAAAGTCGACCCTCCTTCAATTAGCACAATTATTTCAGTTCAGCTTGCACCTTATAGTCTATACAACATTTCAATAAATAAATAAGTTTCTTTGTATAAATATAGATAAATAATAAAGATAAATAGTAGATAATACATAGATAATAGATAAATATTCATTCTAATAAACACTTCTTGTAGGCTTAAACGCCGCTGGTGTGGCCTAAATGCCTCTGTGGTCAGTCCAAACACCCTTCTGATCAGCCCAAGTACCCCTCTTTCCCTCCAAGTGATTAACCCAGCCGGCCCAAGCACACCTCTGGCCCAAGTGCTGTGAATGTCGAGTGAAATTAGAATTTATTGCTACTAAATGTGAGTGATCTTTGTCCTCATAAACAAGCTGTAGCTGAGATCATAAACCAGACAACAGTCAAGTTCAAGCTGGGCCTTCTATCAAAATACCCACACCACTGTAACTGATTAAAGTTAATTAATGACAGTTATGACCTGATCCAGATGGTGTTTGACTGGTGAAAGTGACGATCACAACGCCATAAGGACCAGTGCTGCTTTGTTATTTAATGTGTATTTCTTCTTTTCTTATCTGCTGTGTTACATCTACAGCTGCTGTAACAAGTGCATTTCCCCAGTGTGAGATCAATAAAGTCTATCTTGTTTTATCTTATCTTATCTTACATGTAGAAATGTAGATTGTGCTCACTTACCAAAGACAAGCTCAACAGTAGAGTCTATATTCAACATGGGAATGAAGCATTTGTATGTTCCCTCATCAGATAGTTTCACTCTGGAGAGTTTCAGTGAAATGTTTCCCTGCTTCAGGTTTTCGATGAACAGCGATGTTCTTCCTTTGTAGGATGGATGCTGATCATCCAGAAGTTCTTGACCCGAACGCCACACATGGACAAATCTGGGTTTCAGGTCAGGTCTCGACCACTCCACAGTTGTGGTAGCAGCATCCACGGCAGGTTGCAGGTGGCATGGCAAAATGATGTCATAACCAATAAATGCCACTAGTGGCCGAGGAGGACCAATGACCTGAAGCTGACCTGAGTGGAAGTGAAGTTATTTTATATTGGCAGTAAACTTATTCACCTCTGGCTCAGTGTCCAACACATAGTCTGTACTGGAGGAATCAGGCTCACAGTCCTATTCTTAGTCAGTCAAACTGAATTTAAATGTAAAAATACACTGCTATCATCTGACCTGTCAGAAGTAAACAAGATTTAGAGGTTCAGATTGAATTTCTGAAGTTATTCATACAAGGCACAAATTAAACCAAAGGAAGCTTTACCTTGATTGACAACCTTGTAACGTTAAACACAGAATGAGTGAATATGTGCGTTACCTGTACAGCAGCTTGTTAGCAGGAGCAGGACAACAGTGTGATGGAAAACAGAAACACTGAAGGTACAGTCTCTTTTTGGGGGATTGTCCATCGTGAAACCGTTCTGAAAATCACACCACTTGTCAAACTTAAAACAGACTGATTATATGGATGTAAAACATGTTTGTAAAAATACAGATGGAAGCCTGTAATAGCCTACATGATCAGTTTAAACACAACTGATGCTGCTGATGGTACTCTTTGCTTTTTCACCCCCTGCTGGTCAGCTTTCACCATCATGTAGGAAGAAGATTTGTTAAATCTGACTTTGCTTTGCATTAGTGATGGGAATTCCGGCTCTTTTTAGAGAACCGGTTCTTTTGGCTCGGCTCACTAAAAAGAACCGGCTCTTTCGGCTCCCAAGTGGCTCCTCAGATTTTT